TAAGATATTTTTTTACTAAAATTTTTCTTAAATTCTACTCTACAAAATAGCTATCTTAGATTTTTTTTTTACATTTTATTTAAAATTTAAAAATAATTAATATTTTTAATAAAATGTAAAAAAATTAATTATTGAGATATAGCTATAGACCTAACGTATAACTATTATTTAAAAAAAAAATCAGCTAAAAATATTAACTGGATCAAAAGTTATTTAAGTTGTCAGTGAGTGGTGGGCCACCCTGTATATAAATATTTATTAATAAGTATACTTTGTATATTCATAAATAATATTTTATTGTACTATTTAAGGTTTATAATCGTTTCAAAAAAAGTGCCTTAAGGCAATATAACAAAAAAAAAGACACAAAAATTAAGAAATAAGTAATAAACACATCTTGGTATAATACCGTATAAGCTATGAATCGAAGCTAAAGGTTATTCCGTATACAAAAATTCATTTTTACAATAAAAAATATCGTAAAAAAATTAACAAAATAAATACCAAGATAACACCCCAAATATTATAGTAGCCTCCAGTGCCTTCTTTGAACTGTCTATGATACTAAATTAAGCAGAAAATGTTAATACAAAATTTAACTATACAATATATAAAATCAATACTTAGGTCTTGCAATAAAAATAAATAGTTATAAAATTTATCATTATATTTCAAAATATTATTAATATACCTGCTTGAATGTCAGGATTATCGTATACAAAATTGCATAAAGGACAACGGTAGCTTCTCTTATCAAATTTCCAAGTATCTATACAACCTTTGCAAAATTTATGTGTACAGACTCCTATTGGTGTATCTGGATAATTGTCCCAACAGACGGAACATGTCTCTAAAAATATTGATGTTTCAGTTTGACACGATAACACATTTTTCTATACAAAATTATGAAGTAGAAAAAATAGTTTTGGAATTTTAACACTACGATAACTTAGCTACACAATGACTCTTTTGCCAAATTATCACTTGACTTATTCATAATAAATTTTCATTAAATACTAAATTAATAATTAATAATATAAAAAGTTAATTAAGTTTTAACTTACGATCTGCATTTCGGTCATCGCCTTGAATATCATAAGCTTTGTAAATACATAAATAAATATATATAATATAAATCAAACACATAGACTGATATATCATGTAAGAAATAAATAAGATTAATAGTAGACCATACAGTCCTAATAATGTATGTTCATCCATATAACCGAGATGAAATTTATATATAATTATCAAACATTGATTCATAAAATATACAAAATATATTACAATGTGCACACTCAAAATCGTATCCTAATAAAAACTCTGCGCAAGCACAAAAAAAAACCTTGTATAACGTTAAAAAATTAACAGATTGAAATTTTTTTTTTTTGATATCTCGGAAATTGATCCCGTTTCTGGGCGGGTCTCAGAAAAATTTCATACATTAAGTTTTAAAACGCTGGTGTCAGTGAGGGTTTTTGTCAAATAGGGTCGAAATGTTAAATGTGCGCGGACGAGTAGCAAAATTGTTCGACCTTCGCCAATAATTTTCCCGGATTCCTTGACCGAGTAATTTCGTTTGAAAAAATATTTACAAAGTCGGAGCACACTAAGTAATTTTCTTATAAAATCGTTTTTTTTTTCTTGTAATAGGACATAGTTACTCTACAATTTAAATTCAAAATTATATTTCTTTTTACTATGATATTATTCAATAATATATTATTTACATCATCAGATATAATAAATTATTAATTAATAATGATTCATTTAGCCACAAATAACACTTGGATTCTTTTTTAAAATAAAGAGTTAATTAAGTCATATATAACACATGCTTTCAAAATAAATAAATAAATATTTATATATAAAATATTATCATGTATAATATTGAAACGATAAGTAATATTTTATTTTTGTATTAAGGCACCACTGTATTTATTTTGTTATTATTGTTGCTGTTAATAAAACCTGATGCTTCGGTCAGTCCATTACGAACCATTGATGTTATCTGTTTCTGTTAGCTTCCTCTTAACTTTAGTTCGATTTTACAAATAATTTATTGTGTGGCGACGCAACGTCACCCCTTTAAATTATTTATTCGTTTCATTTGGCGCAGTCGGTCACCTACAAGGAAGCAATCTGGAAGCACAAAAATCTAAATCATTTAAACGGGCTCAGCGTAGGAAACGGATTTCGGATGACTACAAGGTGCGTAGTATTCTAAATTCAACACCTAACCCATCGCATGCTAAATCTTTGCAAAAAACAGCAAGTCGACTTTTTAAAAAAGCACGAGAAGAGTTTAGAAAAGGTTTAGACAGATCAATAAAATCTCAAGATCCAAGTACACCAGCAACGACGGAGCGGATTTGTTTTGAAGCGAAATCTCATTTCGATAAGGCAACTAATATTTTGCAAAAAGCTCAGGCGATACAGCTAGCGGCGAGTAACACTGCTACAAAAAAGTATCAATTTGTTCCAGAGCACGCCGTATCTAGAATAGAAAAATATAAAAAGTTGGTGGTACCAAATATAAATAAGATAGGTCAAGATGTCGAAAGAAGACACGAGGAGTTGCGACCAACACCCAAAACTGGCTAAGTTTAAAGGTGAGGGAGACCAAATAAAAATTAACGTTTGGTTGAAAATATTCGAAACAATTTATCCTAAGGAAACTACTTCTAAGTTGGTGTATTATCTAGAAGGTAAAGCATTGGAGTATTATGGTGAACATATACTTGGGTCCAATATATCTTCCTGGGAGACTGTAAAATCTAAGCTAACCACCCGTTTCGGACCGAAAATTTATTCAACTTTGTTAGTAGGAATGCAGAGGCGTTTAAAATTAGATGAAAACGTCCAAAGCTATTTCGATGGAAAAATAGATTTGTTAATGAGCACCAGTTTATCGCAGGCGGAGATAATAGTGTCATTAACGGACGGCCTGCCGATAAAGTGGAGACATGATTTCAATGGCCGGGAAATTAGAAATTATGAGCAGTGGCTTCAAATAGCTCTTACCGCCGAGGCTTTAGATAAGAAAGACAATACTAAAATGCACAAAAGTTATCAAACCCGTTCTGGTAGTACTCACACCGCTACACCTGCTACATCACACTCACGTACTGTAGACAAGAAATATTTTAATAACAAAAATAAATTACCGTCACCTTGCAAACATTGTAAAGAAAAATATAACAAAGATTACTTCCACTGGCATAAGGATTGTCCCACTAAAGATCAAAATTTGCAAATCGAACAAACCGATTTTGGAAATGATGGGGATGACCAAATTACTTTAAACTAACGGAGCGGCCAATATTCAAGCTAATAAATATCAATACTCTAATTAACGGTTTACCTATAATGGGATTCATTGACACAGGTTCAACGATAAGCATCATATCTCTTAAACAAGCACAATCGTTATGCCTAGTCATTGATCAGTGTAATCCAATCATAATCAAACAGGTAACCGGAATAACAAGGAGTATTGGCCGCACTCAAGTAAATTTAACAATCGGAAAAGAAATAAACAAATGTGTATTACACGTAGTAAAAGATTTTATTCAACCACTATTAATTGGTTTAGATATAGGTAGGATTTTTGAATTACAAGTGGACATTAAAACCGGTCGTATTTATAAAAGGCAACCGCAAACACGTAAAGTTTTTAACTGTACATACTTAAACGGCACAGAAAATGAAATCCTCGGTCAGTTATTGACAGAATATCAAGGAGTATTTTCACAAAACGAAACAGATATAGGTCGGATAAACATAGCAAAACACAAGATCATAACTACCGAACATCCCCCTATACAGCTCAGACCGTTTCGTTTACCACAAACTCACTATGATGAAATTCACAGACAAGTAAAAGAACTATTAGAAAAGAATCTAATTAGGCAAAGTGTAAGTCCTTGGGCATTTCCTGTTTCCTTAGTTGATAAAAAGGATGGCGGAAAAAGGATGGTTATTGATTTTCGCAAATTAAACCAAATAACTATCGATGATAAAATGCCGTTACCTATAATTACACACGTAATTGACAGGTTATCCAATGCTAGATATTATTCTGTGCTGGATATCGCTTGGGGATATTGGCATGTAGAATTAGACCCCTCTAGTGTTGAAAAGACTGGATTTGTAACAAATGAGGGCCACTACGAATGGCTAGTAATGCCATTCGGATTAAAAAATGCCGCCCCTACTTTCCAAAGAATTATTCAAAACACATTAGGAGACCTAATGTACAAAGGTTGTATTAATTACTTGGATGATTTCATTATATACTCTAAGACGTTTGAGGAGCATATGGCGCTCTTAACAAATGTTTTCAATCGCTTGAAAGCACAAAACATTAAGTTGAGACTTGCAAAATGTTCATTCGCTAAATCAGAAGTGGAATACTTAGGTCATGTTATTGGATATAATTTAGTGAAACCATCACCGGGTAAGACACTAGCAGTACAACACTTTCCTATACCTAAGTCTGTGAAAGAGGTGAGGCGATACCTGGGTCTTACAGGTTATTATCGTAGATTCGTTAAAAACTATTCAATTATTGCCAAACCACTTACGGACTTGACAAAAAAAGATACACCATTCATTTGGTCTGCTCAAGCTCAAGAAGCTTTTAAATCTCTAAGAGAAAAGATAACCACCACGCCAGTCCTAGGAATTTTTGATCCCAAATTGCCGTGCACATTGGTAACTGACGCCTCTAAAATAGGGATATCAGCAATTATCAGTCAAGGCAAAGGAAAAGAAGAAAAAGTTATTGCGTATTTTTCAAAAAGGTTAAATAAAAATCAATCCAACTATACTGCTTCAGAGCTGGAATGCTATGCAGTGAAAGAGGCGATAGAGCATTTTCGTTGCTACCTCTACCAACGGTTTAAACTTGTCACAGATCATAGTGCCCTTAGATGGTTATTTTCTATTAAGGAGCCGAAAGGTAAACTCTATCGGTGGTCATTGAAACTGTCCGGCGAAAACTTTTATATTGAACATAGATCGGGAAAGGCTATAGCACACGTAGATGCGTTATCAAGAGCACCTATGGTAATGAATGCTATAGATAATGAATTGAAACAATCCCAAGCAGATAATGATTTAAGTTTTATACGAAAACCTATTTTCAATGACGGTCTTCTGATGATAAAAAGAAACGGACGAGATAAAGCAGTAGTACCTTCTTCATTTAAAGTAAAGTTACTTCATCATTTTCACGAGAACGCAGGACATCCAGGAATAAACAAGACGGTAAACTTGATCATAAAGGACTATTGGTGGCCAAAAATGATACCTGACATTAAAGATCATGTTAGCTCTTGTGAACAGTGTCAACTCGTTAAGAGGGTGAATAAGCCGACCATAGGGCAGTACATTGCACCAGAAAGTCCTACAAAGCCATTTGAAGTAATGAGCGTCGACACTATTATTATGGGTTCGGTAGCTACTAATACAAAACACCAATATATTCAAGTAATCATTGACCATTTAACAAGATTTGTATGGGCTTTTCCAACGGCGAAGAACGATACGTCTACCATCACAACTATCTTTGAAAAGTTAATTTCTTCAAAAGTTATACCATCTCTGCTTCTATTAATTACGGATAACGGACGAAATTTTACGGGCAACTCTTTTAAAAAGTTACTTTGTAAACATAATATTAAACACACTTACGTAACTCCATACTACCCACAATCAAACGGAATGGTAGAAAAGGTGAATGATACGTTAATTCAAAAACTAAAAATAAAACAAATGGAAAATTCTCGAAGAAAATGGAATACATTATTACCGGAGGTAGTCGATTTGTACAATAAGACACCCCATGATACCACGGGGTTTAGTCCAGCCTTTTTACTTTATGGCTTAGCCACTTCAAATAGGGGGAATGAGATAACAGTGGAACAGGCCCGAAAAATTGCTGTGGAAAAGACAGAAAAAGAAAAGTTCAAAAGAAAGGCCAAACATGATCAAAAGCACCCCCACTGCGACATGGAGATAGGTGATAAAGTTATTAAAAAAATACCATTCAATTGGCCTAGAAAAAACAAACTAACACCAGCCTACGAAGGACCATTTGTGATAGAAAAAAAGTTAACTCCAGTTACCTTCATCCTAAGAAATGAGAATAATCGCCAGATTCAAGCTCACTCTTCACAATTGAAACCCTTCAAAGAACGGTGCTCAATTTAAATCGAGGCGGATGAAACGATAAGTAATATTTTATTTTTGTATTAAGGCACCACTGTATTTATTTTGTTATTATTGTTGCTGTTAATAAAACCTGATGCTTCGGTCAGTCCATTACGAACCATTGATGTTATCTGTTTCTGTTAGCTTCCTCTTAACTTTAGTTCGATTTTACAAATAATTTATTGTGTGGCGACGCAACGTCACCCCTTTAAATTATTTATTCGTTTCAATATACTATCGTTCAACAATAGATTTAATTAAAATGGTATTTATTATATCATACAATATATATTATTATATAAAGCTTTCAAATATTACAGTAAGTATAATCATTTATACTACATGTAAAAATAAATCTTTATAAAAAATGATACCGAATTTTGGATAAAATTGGTTAGATATTTTCTCCATCGACGCTAAATTTTTGTACTCGGAAAAAAGGAATCTATATTCCATTTTCTAAATTCATATGATCATAAAATCATGTAAGGTGTAATGTTATGTAAGGTTTATAAAAATTTTTGATAATAGGGTACTATCGAGTGATGAAGGCGTGAATAAAATGTGGAAAGAGTATTTTGAAAAATTACTGAATGATAAGTATTCAAAAGTGACATTAAAACACATCAAAAGAGGATATCTCGTGGAACGGTCACTGTTAAATTTGATTAGTGAGAAAGTGGTATAGGAGGTTGTGGCATCAATGAAAAAGGTTAAAGCAGTAGGACCACATGAAGTGCCAGTAAAAGTATAGAAAATATTAGGTGGTGTTGCATTAGGTAGCTGAAAGATTTTTTAAATGAAATCTTATTAGAAGAGGAAATCCCAAATGAATTGAGGTATAATATTGTGATGGCGATATTTAAAGGTAATGGAGACATACTGGAGTGTCGATATTATAGAGGCATAAAGGTTAATATGAAAATTTGCGAAAAGGTAATAGATAAGAGAATAAGAAATAAGACATCGATATCTAAAAACCAATTTGGATTTATGCCTGGTAAGTCAACAATAGAGCTATTATTTTGTGTGAGGTAAATAATAGAAAAGTTTGGGGCAAAGAAGAAAAAGCTTTCAATGGTATTTATAGATTTTAAGAAAGCGTATGAAAGACTACCGAGAGCGGTTTTAAAGTGAAAATTAATGAGAAAAGGAGTGCTGAAAAGGTACATTGATATAATATATATGTATGAAGGGACTTGTAACAGATTAAAAGCGTAGGAGAAGTAACAGAAGATTTTTGGTAAAAGTAGGATTTCACCAGAGTACTGATTTAAGCCTTAACTTAATTTCTATTGTGATGCATAAAATTACTAGAGAAATACAAGGAGAAGTGCCAAGGTGCATGCTGTTCGTCGAACGATATATCGGTAATAGGAGAAAATAAGGAGAAAATAAATCAAAGGCTAGAGGTGTGGAGATCCTTTAAATCCTTTTCTTGAAGAAAAGGATTTAAGAATAAGTAGGAGTAAGACAGTGTATATATGTGAGTGTATATATGGAGTATAAATGGTTAAGAAACCTCCTCCTTTGGGGAGGCCGCTGTGGCCCTTAATGGGCTAATAAAAGCGCGTAAAAAAAAAAATAAAAAAAAAAAAAGACAGTGTATATAGTGTACGAGTTTGACAAAAGAGAACACAAGGTAGGTGAAATGAGAAGATCAGTGACAATAGTTGAGGACGTGATAGGAGAGGTGAAAAGTTTTAAGTATACAGGATCAGTTGAAAAAAAAGCAGAGGTATTGACGAGGATGCAAGACACAGGATTAAGTGTGGGTGGTTTAAGTGGAGACAAACGTTTGATGTGTTATTCGATAAAAAAATGATTAGTTAAAAGAAAATTACTTATGGAGTTTTATAAGCATAGATGAAAAGAAAAACATTTTTTTTAATAATAAGTTTATTTAATTCATATTTATTTTACCATTTAAATTCCAAATTATGTTTTTATTGATTTAAAAATTCGATAAAATTTTAACTTACGTTCTTCGTTTAAATTATCGCCTGGGATACCATATGATTTCAAACATAATAAATAATTATATTTATTTATACACTTATAATCTTATTTATTTCTTAATTTGAAAAATATACTTCAATAATAGTTAATGAAACATGAATCATAGGTCGAAGAGACACTAAAAAATCGGTACAGCTTTCTAGTCTCCCTCTATTAATTATTTAAAGATTTATTCAAATTCAAAAATTAAATTGCACAAAACATTTTTATTTCATATGTAGATATACTGTTTACTAATGTACATTGTTATGAAAGTATGTAATAAAAATAACACTTGCATTCTTTATTAAAATAAAGAGTTAATTACGTTTTAACTTACGTTCTTCATTTTGGTCTTCGCCGTGAATGTCACATGCTTTCAAAATAGATATATAAAATCATCATTTATATTATTAATCATTTATACTATGCTATCGTTTAATTATTGATTTATAAGAGCTATATTAATTATATCATACATTTCGTACCGTGTGATGTGTATTACAACGACACAACATGTAAAAATAAATCGTTATAAAAAAATGATACTGAATTTGTGACTGTATAGTGCACCTGGGGACATGTCAACAATAATTTTTCAATCTCTACCAACACACAACACCGAGAAAAATGAGACAAATTTTATTGAAATTTCTACGATAAACACCGCTGGATCTTGTGGTCCTTAATTACTTTACTCTAAGAAACATGAATATTATTCATTGAAATTGTATTGTTGCAGAATTTATACGAGTTTTTATATATTTAAATCTTATCAGTTAATAGTGTGTGCATTAGGTATTATGTATGTCCCAATTATAAAATTAGCTTATATACCAATCAACCGATCCAATGGTCAGTACCCGGTTTGTTGTGACAGTTGACCGCACACAGTGCATCCCTACACTTTTGTATTCTCCCTATGAACCAGTTCAAAGTTGGCACCCGCACCACCCGGCGACATCATGATCACCGGCCAATAGAACAGATTTTTTTTTTCCACCTATACTGCCGAGGAGACAAGTCGTGTTTTCTGTATATATATATTTGTCTATGAAAACCACGTTTTTTGTATTTTTTTTTGTCCTCCGTTTTTTTTTACTAAAATAAAACGTCGAGTCGACCTACCGTCTACTTTGGAGTCAACCAGGCTGTATTATTTTTGTCCTCCGTTTTTTTATTAAAATAAACATAGAGATGATGATGATGATGATGGTGATGTGAAGCGCAACTATGGCCGGTGGTGGGCCGTCACTCCTCAATCTACAATCAACAACAGTATCAAGTACAACATGAAACCCCTCTTTTCAAACCCATTATTAATGTTATATAGAGCACCTCTTTTTCTTTTTCTTCTTTTTTGTTTTTGTTTTTCTCTTTCCTTATGACTATATATTTAAAACTATATATGCTAAAAATTTTCAATAATTAAAAAGAAAAAATGTTATTATATTATACATGGCCTCTTTTATTTTTCTCTCAATACTTTTCCCTCATTTTTATTAATATTTGTCTTTTTTTTTGTTTTTATCAAAACCTAGTATATCCGTCAGCAAGTAATATTTTGTTTGGCGCGGCTACTAGGTCACTGTCCAGTGTTCCCCCTGGGCAGTGGGTAATTAGTAGGCCCTCTGTTTGGCTGAAACCTTACAAAATATATAAAATTTTTATGAAATAAATACTATAAAATTAATTTTTCTAAATACTTTTAACGTATCATACCAAACTATTCTTCCGTATTTTAAAAGTGTAGTATTATCTTCTATAACTCTGCGCCACTAAAATTTTGTACTCAGAATTACGAAAACTACATTCCTTTTTCTAAAATCTATAAATGGGTATAACTCTTGTTCGTAAAGAAAAACTTCAACATTTCTGTTGTTGACTTACGGTATTTTATAGCAAACAAAAACACTCTATTTAAGCTAATAATGTGAACTGTATCTTTACGATATGACTTTTACATTTCTTATACGAATAAAACTTTCAGAACGCAAGTCTTACCATTCGATATTTGGTATACCACTGACTAACAACAAAAGAGACTTACGCCGCACCACCTCGTGCCTACTCAATAACAATATAGATCTCGTATCCCCTATGTCCACCTATTTCAATGGTCAGAAATATAATATGAAATGACTAATTTACTTCTAACTTACGTTTATCATTTTGGTTATCGGCTGGGATATCATCTGCTTACAAAACATAAAAAATAATATATACAAAGAAATGGGTTTATCATAAACCATTCCGTTTTTAGTAAAATAAATACAATAAGAAAAAATTGTATTTTTTTTAATTACATATATTTTTTGATTTATTAGCAATAAATTAGTTTTTAAAATTATCCTTTATAACTTATAGAGATGTCAACTTTATTTTTTTCAAATGGCAACGTACATAATTTACTAGCTTCTTTAACAAATAATGATGACATATGAAAATTACTAGTAGATAACAACCAGTCATTTTATGAATTTAATCATTATCATTAAATTAGCTAGTAAATTATGTACGTTGCCACTTGATGAAATAAAGTTGACACCCTTACAATTTATAAGAGATGATTCCAAAAGGTAATTATTAGCTGATAAATCAAGAAATATAAGTAACTAAAAGCAAGAACAATTTTTTTATTTATATATTTTGAGAATAATCATGTGCTTTATGATACTCCATGATATTTATGTTTTATATTTATAACTTCCACAAACATGTCTATATTTTTGTCGAAGTAATAAAAAAATATATTTTTTATTACTTTATCTTTAATATTATGTAATTTATTAATTGATTATTTACATCATCAGATTGAATAAGTTCTTAATTAATTTAGCCAAAAATATCATTTGGATTCTTTTATGAAATAAATAATAAATTAAGTATTAACTTACGTTCTTCTTTTTGGTTATCGGCTGGGATACCATATGCTTTCAAAATACATAAATAAATATATACACATATATAATATATGCTCTATTTATACTATCATTTCATTCAATAATTGATTAATTATATTATTAGATTGAATAAGAAATATGAAATTCATATTTCTAAATACTTTTAACGTATAAAACTAAACTATTCGACTATATTTTAAGTGAGTAGACATTATCAACTATGAATCTTGTCCACTAAATTTTTGTATTCTGAATTAGGAATATCACACTCTATTATAATCATATCAGTGCGTACAATTTTCTTCGTAAAAGAAAAAATCAAAAACAATAAATATAATTTGAAATTAAATATTTAGTTATAACCAAATCAGATAGGATAAGAAACAAACATACAAAAAAGGGAGTATAAGTCTAGCGTCAATCGTGGATAAGATAAGAGAAAATAGACATAAATGGTTTAGTTATGTTATGAGAAGAAAAAAATCAGAAGCTGACTCTCAAACTGTATTTCTATCATTAAAAAAATAAGTTATTTCATCACCTCCACAAAAAAAACTTAAAATATTTATTCGTTTATTTTGATAAGAATGATTATTACCCGAGAAATAATTATGACATAATAGCACTTTAATTTACTAAATTACTAAAGTTAGTTAAAGTCCCGTCACTGGGTGACCACTCTACAAGTTATTGTTTTTTTCAAAATTACTTGTATATAATAATAATTTATCATAAGTACTTGTTGTATATTTTATATAAATTGTGACCTTTTCTACAATAAAAAAATAATTACCAGCGAAAAAACACAAACACAAACTCAACAAGACTGGATAACTCTGTAAAATAATAAAAACATAATTACAATCAGAATGACTAATTATAACAGAACAATGTACCGACCATTTATATTTTTTGACTTTTCTTCGATGCTATACTTCCACAATTTTCTTCAAACAAATGTCATACCAAAAATAATTGTCTTTATAAAAGCTTCTTATGAACAAATATTAATAAGTAAACATTAAAATTGAATTATTTATTCCCTACAATATATAAATATACAGAGTGACTATTGAACTATTTTTTCATATATTATTTTTGTTTTCAAATTATTTTTTAAAAGTCATAGCACGTAAGATATTAATAATTTCTGAGAAGTAAGTATGATTTTATGTTTATACTTTTAAAGATATTTCGTAAGTCATTATTAAACAATCGCTATATACCATATATTACTAATGATTCGTTTAAACATGTCTACACTAGTTAAAGAAAAAAAAATTAAAATCAAAATATAGCAAATATATATACAATTTAAGTGATTGATTCATCAATAGCTTTTATATCTATTTAACAGGTTTTTGAACAATCAACTCATAAAATGGCTTTCTGTATTTAAACTACCACTATTTCTTCAATTTTTGTAGTTATAACAAAATTTGCAGTTCACACTTGCTATTATCAGTATTTTCGATAGTAAATAGAAAATTTCGTGATTCGTCCATGTTTTACACAAATATACATTTTTATTTATTTCCACATGTGTGCAAAAATGTTATTGTCCGAGTTAAAAGGATCTGCAACAAAATTCCATTTACGGATTAATTTATTATTTAGGTATAATGATAGTTGTATTAATTGAATACAACTATCATTATCTTAAAACTGGCTTTTATAAATCAATTTATAATTTTCTGCTCGGTTACATTTCTCTAAGATTTATCAAACATTATTATTGCATCGATTATACCTACAACGAGTTATCGTAACTCAAAAATTAATATTAATGAAATTAATAGTAAAAAGAAATAGAATTGTGAGAGTTTATTGTTGAGAGAATTAAAGTGAGAGTTAGTATGATAGTGAGAATTACTTTTGATTCGAGGGTCATAAAATAACTATATAAATATTATTATGGATTTAAAAAAAATTTACCTGATAATTTTCTTTCTCAGTTGTTTTAATAACTTCAGTGATAATATTAATAAATGATAAATAAAATAACATAAATTCAAGTTTTAGTTTACAAATTAAGCACGTAAGAACTTCGACATTGATGATTGTAATATCCACGTAACGATATCTAGAGAACGAAATGAACAGGAGGGAATAAGGGTTGGGTTTGCTTTTTTATAATATATTTTTACCCCCAAAAATCATTATTGTCTAATTCCCATAGTGTAACTGTTTACTGATATATAAGCATAAAATACAGATGTTATTGCAGATGAATATAATATATAATAATCATATTGACATTGTTTAGTAATATCAATATAGTTTTTAACACATAATATTAGGGTTGATACAATATATTTAATTATTATAATTAGAAAAAAATAAATATACAGATTTCTTTTTGGAAGGAAGGATTTTAAAAGTGACTATTAATTGATTTATGATTGAATGGTGTATATTACAATGTAACTAAACACTATGAGTTTGTTAACTATTTCTCTTAAATGTTTATTTAAATTTTTTGATAAAAACGATAGCACAGTGGGGTCGAGGCATAGTGTGGACGAGGCATAGATGGGACAAGTATAGATGATATCTGACAGTGATTAAAATCACTATCATAAGAAACGCTTCGATGCAAATCTGTAGATAGTGTTTCCTTTAGAGAAATTGGTGAAATATTTTAAAAGCAACATGAACTCTTATTTCTTTAATTATATCCTGATTAGTAGTTCTTTGATTTTAAAATATAATATATGAATAAATACTAATTATAGTTTTTAAATTTAGTATGAAATTGTGAGGCCAGCTATGATGTATGGTTAATAGTGTTGGGCGGTTGATAAGAAAGTAGAGCAGAGAATAAGTGTAGCAGAGATGAGAATGCTTAGTTGGATGAGTGGAGTGACTAGAGAATATAGGATAAGGAACGAGCTTATAAGAGGAAGTATAGGTGTTGCGTCAATCGTGGATAAGGTGAGAGAAAATAGACTTAAATTGTTTAGTCATGGTATGAGGAAAGAAGAATCGAAAGCTGTAAGAACAGTTATAGAAATGAATGTTGAAGGAAGAAGAGATAGAGGAAGACCAAAAAAGAGATGGAGGGATGCTATTGAATGCGATTTGAGGACAGCTGATGTGAGCGTAGAAGATGTGGGAGATCGTGTCAAGTGGAAGCTTAGGATAAGGGTGGCCGACCCCAAGTAGTTGGGATTAAGGCAAAGAAAAAGAAAAATATTACCAGAAATTCCGGTGGCAATTGACATAATATGATTGTTGTTTCGGAATTTACAATTTAGCGTTTATTTGGGTTTAAATAATATAGCGTTAAATCAATTACCTACTCTATCGGTTGTATCTCAATATACACTACACTTTAATGATACAATAAATAAATAAACTCACACATACACACATATGCATTTATAACATTGTGTCTAATGTAAGTATAACATGATAAAAAGTAACCGTAAAATGAAAAAAATGGAATATAAATTTTATTACTCATATTAAATGTAATGTAACTCGAAAAATATTTGTTTAAATGAAAAAATATAAGATTATATTTTTATTTATAATTGTCTTTTAAACAACTTTTGTGCGAAACTTTTTTTTGTAAGTTAAATATTTTTTTTTGAGAAAATTAAGAAAGCTCATATTTTTGAACTTTTGCGAGGATTTAAAAAAAAAGCTCAATTCCAATCTTGAGGACTATTAGTATGTCATTATACATATTTTAATTCAACTTTTAAAAAAACAAAATTTTTTCCGCAATTTTTCCTTTGTTGACAGGCCTAGATGTCAATTTTAAACTTGTAATTGAGCTAAAAGTTATGGTAATATATTCAATTTATTTTACTATAAACTTTCATAAATCTTTATCAAAAATTTTTCATCAACTTTAAAGAACCAAAAAAATAGGTTAAAATTGAAAATTTGGACTGATTATTTTTAACATATTAAAAATCAAATCAGTAATAATTTGAAAACAAATTTTTTTTTCTTTTAATTATTATTTTATATATATAATTAGTAATAATATAAAAAATTAGAAGTGATAGAAATAGTCTACTTGCAGATTTGAAAACAACGCGAAAATTTGATTTAGAAAAGTATATTTTTGCTTCTGATGAAAGTTCCTTGTAGTCCAGTGCATTTTTTTATAGTAACAAACAGTTTTTATTGAAAATTATTGTATCAAGCCCTTTAAATTTTTATACACGTAAAAGTAAAGCAAAATATAACTTCTTTATTATTTTTATAATTTCTCCGTTTAAATTACAATATTAAATATCAATTTCATACTAAATTTAATAATTATAATTAGTATATATTCATATATTATATTTTAAAATCAAAGAACTACTAATCATGATATAATTAAAGAAATAAGAGTTGATGTTGCTTTTGGAATAATCCACCAATTGCCTAATTAAAACAAAAAAAAAAAAAGTTTGTTGGGAATTTTTTCTGCTATTCTGCAAAATTACTCCTTCGTTGACTAGAATGAATCATTAAATAGAAAATTTTATGAGAATTAAAACAATGTTATTTTTAAGATTAATATGCAGTCAGAAAGTTTTATAATTATTATTTATTGTAAATTTATCAGAAAAACTCATTATTTTTTGCATTTTTATCGTAATAGAACACTTAAATAGAAATCATAGTAATCATTTCTAAGTAATTTTTGATATTTAAAAAGATTCTACTATTGAAATATCCAGAACTGAATTAATTTTAATGATTTACTTTAACTAAAAAAAAAAAAGTTAATATTTTGAATCCCTCTTGTGGGCAGGTAAAGGGTTAGATTTATAAAAAAAACCAAATGATAGATAAAGACATGCATCTAAATAAAAAAAAATATACTGATTTGGTCATTTTTGATAAAGTTATAACAATTAACAAAGTTATAAGTTTTATACACTGGACTACAAGGAACTTCCATCAGAAACAAAAATATACTATTCTAAATCAACTTTTCGCGATGTTTTAAAATGTGCAATTAGACTTTTTCTATAACTTCTAAGTTTTAATATTATTAAAAAATAGTTTTTACATATAAAAAAAAATAATTAAGAACAAAAAAAATTGTTTTAAATTAATACTGATTTGATATAATATTTAATATTAATTTGATTATTAATAAGTTAAAAATAAGGAAAATGACATATTTAACCTATTTTGTTAATCGTTTAAAGTTGATTGTTGTAAATGTTTATAATAAAAAAAAAAAATTTATTTTACCATAACTTTTAGCTCAATTGGTAAGTTTGACATTGACATCATTAAATAGAAAAAAATGGTATTGTTAAGATTAATATACAGTCAGGAAATTTTATAATTACTATTTACAGTAAAATTTTTATCTCATCCATTGTTAAATTCAGGTGAAACTAAAAATCATTTTTTTTTAGACGTATGATTTATATAGCAAAATGTTACGAAAAAATTTGGAATGATATAGACTGGTAGTAGCACACACAAATAGAGTTCGAAAATTAATAAATTACAAAGTAAAATTATTGACTTTTGTAGTTGAATACTTTTATCATATCAAACCTAATTCGAAAATAAATAATTTGAAAATATTAGAAATTAATGATTTTACTTGCTTATATAGATAAAGCTGATTAAGCTACTTTTTATACGAACAATGGATTTTTTTTCAATTTTTGAGGGTAATATCTTCAACTAAATACGAATTGTAAGTATTTGAAGTATCGTTGAAAATAGTAGGTTAAGTGAGTATTGGAAAAATAAATCACGGCCACAAAAATAAACACATTGTAAAATAATATTAACATAAATAAGAAATTTCATCTCACGAGGGGAGACTATAGTGATGGGATCCTTGATATTTATTGAAGTTATTGAATATAAATAGATAAAAATCAAATGATTTGAAGATTTTTTTCTAACTTAAATAAAATGCAAACTATTATTTGCCATAGGCGGTTTCGAACCTCGTACCCTAAGCGTGAAAGATACAGGTGTTACCGATTCGGCAAATATTCGT